GCATGCAATTAGGATTGACCTATTCATTTCTTTACTTTGAAGCAAGGTAAGATGGGGTGGGGTGGGGAGGGAAAGCATTCACTGTTTTACAGTGCTAGAAGGAATATCTAGAGCAAAGTCTTTTATAACAACAAACAACTTCTCTGAGATCTAAACTGGAATTAGTGCCATCATGTATGAAAAGAAACACAGTTAAAATAAGAAATCATTTCCCATTCCTCACTGTCCAGATTCTCACCAGCTATTCTGTACTGATCTTAATTAACTGAAAATTTGAGTTTTAATACCTGGTTGTCCATTACTGGCAGAATAGATAGATAAATAATGGCATAATCATACAATAAAATATTATTCAGTAATTGTATTAGTCTGTTTTCATGCTGCTGATAAAGACATACCCGAGACTGGGCAATATACAAAAGAAAGAGGTTTGTTGGATATACAGTTCTACATGACTGGGGAGGCCTCACAATCATGGCAGAAGGGAAGAAGGAGCAAGTCACATCTTAAGTATGTGGCAGCAGGCAAAGAGAGAGCTTGTGCAGAGATTATTTTTAAAACCACCAGATCTCATGAGACCCATTCACTATCACACATGATTCAGTCATCTCCTACTTGGTCTCTCACACAACACATGGGAATTATGGGAGCTGTAAGATGAGATTTGGGTGGGGATGCAGAGCCAAACCATATGAAAATGAATAAACTGCCTTTACTTGCAAGAATTTAACATGAGTCTCACAACATGATGTTGAACAAAAATCCAAATGCATGCCAAAAATAAAATGCAGCGTTATTCCTTTTATAGGTAAAGGTCAAACTAAACCATTAATATTTAGGGATATATGCTCTGCCAAACCTCTTTAGATAGGACCCAAGGTGGTAGAGCTTTTAATAATTTCCACTTCATAACAGTGTTATTGTGGAGGTCTAGCCTATGTATTTAGTACTGTATAGTTTGATAAATTAATGCATTGTTGCTATGTTGAGATGGTTAATTCATCTTTTTACCAGTCTCTTCCACTAGACTGTAAAACTCTTTAAGAGAGCAAAAAACATGTGTCTTGTTCACTGTTGTATCTAGTGTAACTCAGCGTCTACGGCAGTACATGGATGTACGAAATATCTCTTAGAGATCTTGTTGACATTCTTTTGTATGTATACCAAGAAGTAGAATTGCTGGATCATATGGTAGTTATATGTTTTATCCTTTAAGGAACCAGTATATGGCTTTTATTGGCACTGTACCGTTTTGTATTTCCACCAGCAATGCACCAGAATTCCAGTTTCTCTGCATTCTTGCCACACATTTTGTTTTTTGTTGTTGTTTTTTTAAATAAATAAATATGCATCCTGGGTATAAATATAATCAGAACTTTAAACCAAATTAATTCTAAAATACTTAGTACAATATGATCTTTGGGTTAAATTATAAATTAACAGCAGAATGAAACTATGTTTTAAAGCTTGTCAAGACACCTGTTCAAGGTTGATTTAATACATGGAATAAGCAGACTCAGCTGTTTCTGTGTCATTCTCAGTGCCTAAAACAACTTTTGCCTAATTTTTGAAGCCAGCAAAAACAATAATAACAAAAGCTGCAGTATTTACAAATTTGCCATTTATACTAACATACTTTTTCTAAAACATACCTGAATGTGTGCTATTTGAAGTAATCCCAGAAAAACTTCTGAAAGGGTTCCTGATACAGCAAAATAACTAAGAAGGCTCAAGCTCAAGGCTCCCTCATACTCTTTTTTTTTTTTTTTTTTTTTGAGACAGAGTCTTGCTCTGTTGCCCAGGCTGGGATGCAGTGGTGCAATCTCAGCTAACTGCAGCCTCTGCCTCTCGGGTTTAAGCAGTTCTCCTGCTTCAGCCTCCCCAATAGCAGGGATTACAGGTGTGTGCCACCATGCCCAGCTAATTTTTGTATTCTTAGTAGAATATCATGTTGATATTCTCACAATGTTGGCTGGTCTCAAATTCCTGACCTCCAGTTATATGCCTACCTCCACCTCCCAAAGTGCTGGAATTATAGGCATGAGCCACCACACCCAGCCTAGGCTTCCTCATATTTTTTTATGAATCTTGCTTGAGAATTTTTTTTTCCTGAACACCCAGGATTACTTAGGAAATATTCAACAGCACTTTTTCCTTAAAAATGTATTTCTGGGGTGGGCGTGGTGGCTCATGCCTGTAATCCAAGTACTTTGGAGGCCAAGGTGGGCAATTCACCTGAGGTCAGGCGTTCAAGACCAGCCTGACCAACATGGTGAAACCCCATCTTTCTATTAAAAAAAAAATGTATTTCTGATAGAATACATGCTCTTGTATCATAACTAAATATTAGTAAGATGAAATCCTGCTTTATTTCTTACCAATAGAATTAGATAAATCTTAAGCTTTCTTTTCATGAAAAAACAAGAGTTTAAAAATCACTAAGTATTGTTGATGGGAATTAAAAATTACTTTCTGTATAATACTGAGAGACATTTAAGCTCCACTTGATTGAAGTAAGGTTTTGGATCTACTTAAGGTGTTGGTTAAAAAGGCAATATTAGCTAGTGAATAGACAAATTAAGATGTTAGATTATTGCTTTCTCTTTTTGGTGACCTCATGTCATAGAATATAAATGCAAAATTGTCATTTGTGCCGTCCTGACCTGCACAGACCATCTCAGTGCCTCCCATGCCCCCTGGCTTACTTGAGTTTGGCCATTAGGCAGCATTGGCAGGAGAGTCAGAGGCAGGGAGGAGAGTTAGGTAGGGACATTTATTCCTGTAATCTTCTCTGAGGGGTAGCTGTGGACTGAGTGTGTCATTTGACCAAAGATCACAGCAACTGCCTGATGGCCCTCTCCATACCAGATGAAACAAAGATAAAAGGGCTCTTTCTGTCTTTGGCTCCTGTAACTGCTCCTTCCTCACACACATGTCTCGGGTAGTGGTGCACATTGCTTAAAAACCAGCAAAAACAGTAACGAGGTACAGCGCTATAAGGTAGTTTCCTTACTCTCTGCTAGCACCTTTGAAAATAGTCCTTTTATTAAACTCTATTAAGATTGCCCAATTTGAGTATGCTATTCGCTTCCTGTTTGGGATCCTGACTGAAATAGCTGCTTGATGTATTTTTAATCATCCTAAATAGTATTCCGGATAAACCCTAATTATGCTCATTTGTTTTGGCCAATAATTGTTTGCAGAACCATCCTTTGTTTTTTGTTTGTTTGTTTGTTTTTGAGACAGGATCTCTCTCTGTCACCCAGGCTGGAGTGCAGTGGTGCATTCATGATTCACTGCAGCCTCAGCCCCCTAGACTCCAGCTATCTTCCTGCCTCAGCTTCTCAAGTAGCTGGGACTACAGGCACATGCCACCATGCCCAACTAATTGTTCTCCTTTTTCTATAGGCAGGGTTTCACCATATTGTCCAGGCTGCTCTCCAACTTCTGGGCTCAAGCAATCCACCTGCCTTGGCCTCCCAAAATGTTGGGATTATAGGGATGAACCACCATGCCTAGCCTACCCTTTGTTTTCCCTGTAGTTTGTGTCATTCTAGTGTGTTGTTAAAGGAAAAAACAAAAAACAGAGCTAGATAAGTATAAGAGGCTAGTAATAGAACCCAAAATGCTGTTTTATGTTCCCTCTTTTCCCTAAAGGAGATTGGTGGTTTAATTCATTAAGTGGATTATTGATGTCCTTTGTATCATCTCACTGCTCATTAATACCTCTTTGGGGGAGGATACATTAAAACATTTGAGTTATATCATTTGGCTGATCTATAGGAATTCTGAGAAGATTCCTAATAGTACTTTGGTTCTATAGGACCTTCATTTTTGTAGACTGTGTCTCTTTTTAATTAATAAAAATTAATTGGGAGTTAACCATTATTATATAGTCATCTAGAAGACTCAAGCTTAAATACCAAGTTTGTATAAGTGTAACCCGATTTTTCATTTGAGTAGCAGTCTAGAAACAGCCAGTATTAACAAAGGTTAAATCTAAATTAGTTCAGGGTTCAAGATTAAGCCATGAAAGAAGCTTCAATTAAAACATATCTGTAATATCAGCAAAATAATTTGGAAAGTGTATGAGAATATTACTGTGGGTTTTTTGTACCCCATTTCTCAACATTTTTCCTTTTACTTGCGTTGTTGAAATTTTAACTCCTAAGCTATTTCTGAGTACAGTGCCGAGATCAGTAATATTGCTATCACCTGGGAATAAAAATCTGCCACAGGCCAGAATGTTGAATCACAACCTACACCTTAACATAAGTATCCATAGGGGTTAAGTATGCACATCAGAATTTGGAAAGTACTCTAACAATTTCCTGAGATTGTATCTTATTGCTTTAAAACAAAGTTGTTGAGTGTTAAAGCTTAAGTAATTTATTGATCACTTAGGCAGGGGTAAAGAAACTGATTAAATTTGCACATAACATTTTCTTTGTAAGTACAGAGAAACCAGAATATTTGTTTATTTTTGTAATTATGGATACTTTGCTTTATTAAGCATTATGTTAGGGATGCACACATGAATGCATTCACGGGTTTATAGTCTACTAACATAGCATTTATGGTTCCATCTAGAAGAGGAAATTACTTTGTGTTATTAATGTTACAGAAGCTTCCATCCCACTCACATTTTCAGATTCTTTAGTGTTAAATTTCACCATGGGAAGCTATTTATTTGTAGCATTTTTAGAGGGCCTTACAGTGGGATAATTAACAATGATATCAAGGATTACAGGAGAGTCTAATATAGTTTATGTATTTAGTGTTTTCCTCAAGCTGTGACAGTTTCCATTAAAATTAAATTTTTGTTTTATAAGTTTAATTCGAAACTCAGTTATAAGTTATCTACGTAATAGAATTTGCCAGATAGCAACTAAGTAGCTCATTGTTTTATGGGACACAAGCAGCCAGTTTTGGCCCTTCTGTCTTGGGAATGGATTACATTTGGATCATGTTGAATATGTTTTTCCTTCTTATTCTTTCAGATTCATCAGGATTCATTTTTGATTTACAGTCCAATACTGTACTGGCCCAGGGAGGAGCTTTTGAGAACATGAAAGAGAAGGTAAGACTAGTCACTGTGGATAGTAAACTTGAATGTCATAGGAAAATTTAGGTACTAATATGACTAGTGGCTACCACAAACTCATTACGAGAGTGAAATTTTAATAATAAAACAATGCCACTATATAGCAGAGAGTGACGGCCATGTAAGTTCTGATTGTGCAGAACCTGTTAACAGAACCTATTAAATGCAAACATGATTTTTTTTTTGCCTATCTCCATATATATTCATTCTAAATTCTCTTGAAGATGTTCAATATTAATTAGTTTATTAATATTTATATGACTGAGTATATCTCATTTGGCAACATTCCTTAAGGAACAATCTGAATAGGATCCTCCCAAGTACTTGAAGAGCATTCTTAAGTGCAGAAGGCTTCAGAGCAAGAGAAAAAATAGGTCTTTTGTGGTTTTTTGTTTGTTTGTTTGAGACAGAGGCTCACTGTATCACCCAGGCTGGAGTGCAGTGGCACAATCTCAGCTCACTGCAATCTCCACCTCCTGGGTTCAAGTGATTCTCGTGCGTTAGCCTCTCAAGTAGCTGGCATTACAGGTGTGCGCTACCATGCTCAACTAATTTTTATATTTGTAGTGGAGACAGGGTTTCTCCAGGTTGGCCAAGGTGGTCTCAAACCCCTAGCCTCAAGCAATCTGCCCACCTCAGCCTCCCAGACTGTTGAGATTATGAACCAGAGCCACCACACCCAGCCAGAAATAGATCTTTTAAGGAGTATTTTTTTTTTTTTGGAAGAAAACCAAGTAGTTCTAGTAATGTAACCCTCAATGAGCTGTGTTGAGAAAAACATAAGATCTATATGTGCTTTCTCTCTTTTCTTTTTTGAGACAGAGTCTTGCTCTGTCGCCCAGGCTAGAGTGCAGCGCGATCTTGGTTCCCTGAAGCCTTTGCCTCCAGGGTTCAAGCGATTCTCATGCCTCAGCCTTCTGAGTAGCGGGATTTCAGGTGTGTGCCACCATGCTGGGTTAATTTTTATATTTTTAGTAGAGACAGAGTTTTGCCATGTTGGCCAGGCATGTCTTGAACTCCTGACCTCAGTCAATCCGCCTGCCTCAGCCTCCCAACCACCACGCCCAGCCTCTCTGTCTTTTTTTTTTTTTTAATTGTTGACTCTGGAGTCCTGTACAGTGGTTGAGAACTATAAATACTCATATTTTAAATTATCAGAATCTTACCTTTATCATGGAGTCTGTAAGTTTTGCCTAAAGTTCATTTTTTAGGGATCATTGCTGTGATTGATACATGTTAAGTTGCTTATCTCAAAAATGTATTAACCTTCATTGGATTACAAACTGTGTACCTTCTCACTTGTATGGTTCTATTTTTATTTTTATTTTTTTGAGACAGAGTCTCACTCTGTTGTCCATGCTGGAGTGCCATGGCGTGATCTCAGCACACTGCAGACTTTGCCTCCAGGGTTCAAGCAATTCTCCTGCCTCAGCCTCCTGAGTAGCTGGGACTACAGGCATGTACCACCATGCCTGGCTAATTTTTGTATTTTTAGTAGAGATGGGGTTTTGCCATGTTTGCCAGACTGATCTCGAATTTGTGGCCTCAGGTAATCTGCCCACCTCGGCCTCCAAAAGTGCTGGGATTATAGGCGTGAGTCACTGCACCTGGCCATCACTTGTATGATTTTAAACCATATTGTTTTCAATTAAGTCTGAAACAAGAAGAGCATAGGATGATGGGTAAGCAAGAGTGCTAAAAATGACTTAAGTTCTTACAGACTCTGCCTATTACTTCTACAAGTTACTTTCTAAGCCTGTCTCTTCATTCATAAAAAGACCTCATTTTTGAGCAGTATGACTGATCAGATAACCCGAAGCCTTTTGTTTTTGAGACAGAGTCTCACACTGTTGCCCAGGCTGCAATGTAGTGGTATGATCTTGGCTCACTATAACCTCTGCCTCCTGGGTTCAAGTGATTCTCCTGCCTCAGCCTCCTGACTTGAAGACATTTTTAATATAAAATACCTAGAAATAGGCCAGGCACGGTGGCTCATACCTGTAATCTCAACTCTTTGGGAGGCCAAGGTGGGTGGATCACCTAAGGTCAAGAGTTTGAGACCAGCTTGATCAACATGGAGAAACCCTGTCTCTACTAAAAAAATACACACACACACACACACACACACACACAATTAGCTGAGCATGGTGGCCCATGCCTATAATCCCAGCTATTTGGGATTGATACACATCAGTGTATCAGTTGGCTTATTGCTACTGGGGACTTTTGAACACAATATTCTTACTATGTGGGATTAGAGAGATACATTTAAAGGGTAAAGGGTAAAAATAATTGCAAATCTGAGAGGCTGAGGCAGGAGAATCACTTGAACCCAGGAGGTGGCGGTTGTGGTGAGCTGAGATGGCGCCATTCCCCTTCAGCCTCGGCAACAAGAGTGAAACTCTGTCTCAGAAAAGAAATACTGGATGAAAAATAACATATATAATTATATATCATTTTGAATGTATACCTGAATATAAGAAGTAAGGGAAATCCCTAGAGGGAACTAAAAACCAGAATAGTGAGCTTGAACTGTTAATAGGTAACTGTGGTAAGTTTTGCCAGTCTCAGTAACACATGGTTTTTACCACACAGTGCCATTAAGCCCAGTAGTCCCAGCACTTTGGGGAAGCTGAGGTGGGAGGATCCCTTGATCACAGGAGTTTGAGATCAGCTTAGGCAACATAGTGAGACCTTGTCTCTAAAAAAATTAAGAAAAAAAAATTAGCCAGATGTGGTGACACATGTCTGTGGTCTTAGTTACTCAGGAGGCTGAGGCAGGAGGATTGCTTGAGCCAGGGAGGTCAAAGTTGCAGTGAGTCAAGATCACAGCACTGCACTCCAGCCTGGGAGACAGTAAGACTGTCTCAAACAAAACCAAAAACCCAAACGAAAAGATTAGAACTGAGATCTTATGTAAGCTTGGCATTTAAAAAATGTTTCACCTTCAGGGAAAGGGTGAACTAGAATAAATCTTTCCCTGATTTTTTCTTTCTTTCTGTTTTTTTTGGAGGTGGAGTCTCACTCTGTCAGGGCTAGAGTGTAATGGTGAAATCCCCGGCTCACTGCAACCTCTGCCTCCCAGGTTCAAGCAATTCTCCTGTCTCAGCCTTCTAAGTACCTGGGATTAGAGATGTGCACCACCACGCCTAGCTAATTTTTGTATTTTTAGTAGAGACAGGGTTTCACCATGTTGGATAAGCTGATCTTGAACTCCTGACCTCACTCAGGTGATCTGCCTGCCTCGGCATCCCAAAGTGCTAGGATTACAAGCATGAGCCACCACACCTGGGGCCACTGACTTTTGAACACAATATTTTTACTATGTGGGTTTAGAGAGATACACTTAAAGGGTAAAAAGAATTGCAAATCTTAAATTTTATTCAATGGTTTTATTAGTAGTAATATTAATGGTGGTAACATTATATTGTAGGGTTGTTTTATGATTATTATAAAATAAAGCAAATTAGTGAATAATGTTTTTAGGAACTAAAACTTTTGGTTAAGAGAGAAGAGATACATGTTTAAAATAAGATGAGAAAAGGTCTTTTTTTTTTTTTTTTTTTTTTTTTTGAGGCAGAATCTCTGTCACCCAGGCTGGAGAGCAGTGGCACGATACTGGCTCATTGCAACCTCTGCCTCCTGGGTTAAAGCGATTCTTCCACCTCAGCCTCCTGAGTAACTGGGATGACAGGCACCCACCACCATACCTGGCTAATTTTTGTATTTTTAGTAGAGATGGGATTTTACCATATTGGCTAGACTGGTCTCGATCTCCTGACCTCATGATCCACCTGCCTCAGCCTCCCAAAGCGCTGGGATTACAAGTGTGAGCCACTGTGCCTGGCTGAGAAAAGGTCTTTTAGTAGTATATTTGAATTGAGGATGTCAGTGTGAACTCATTATTTAACCAAAAAAATCTCCTAGTTTCATCCACTGAAAGAGTCTAAAAACAATGACTCCCCAATAGCAATAAGCACACCTAGCTCGTAGATACTGGTTTCTAATTACCATTCCTCATCAAAAGGAACCAGAGCTTCTTTGAAAAATAATCAATTTTGCATTGTACAGTAAAACAATAAATAAAAATTATAAGAATTGGAAAGGCAGAGAAAAACTGATGTTATTGGCCAGGGGCAGTGGCTCATGCCTGTGATCCCAGCACGTGGGGAGGCCGAGGCAGGAAGATCACTTGAGGCCAGGAGTTCAAGACCAGCCTGGTCAACATAAGGGAACCCCCCAAAATCTTTTTAGCCAAGCCTAGTGGCATGCGCCTGTAGTCTCAGCTATTCAGGAGGCTGAGGTGGGAGCATTGCTGGAGCCCAGAAGTTCAGGGTTGCAGACCTATGAATGCACCACTGTACTGCAGCCTGAGTGATACAGTGAGACCATCTCAAAAGAAACAAAAAACAAATGAAACCCTGTCTGTTATTTATAAGCAATACAATTATCTACATAGAAAATCCAAGAAAGGAACAAATTAATAGGACTAATAAGAGTTCAAGGTTGCTGGATATAAAATGGGTATATAAACGTGAAAACAAAATATACAGTTATTGTAAATTGTATATTTTTTGTGCATGTGATCCTCCTGCCTTTACCTCCCCAATTGTGTGTGTGTGTGTGTGTGTGTGTGTGTGTGTGTGTGTGTGTTTGTGTGTGTGTATTTTTTTAAGATGGAGTCTTACTCTGTTGCCCAGGCTGGAGTGGAGTGGCACAATCTTGGCTCACTGCAACCTCCACCTCCTGGGTTCCAGCAGTTTTCCTTTGTCAGCCTCCTGAGTAGCTGGAATTACAGGCATGTGCCACCATGCCCAGCTAATTTTTGTATTTTTAGTAGAGACAGAGTTTTACCATGTTGGTCATCCTGGTCTCGAACTTCTGACCTCGTGATCTGCCTGTGTTGGCCTCCCAAAGTGCTAGGATTACAGGCATGAGCCACTGTGCCCAGTCATACTTTTTTTATTCTCAAAAAATAGGAAAAAACAAACAAACAAACAAACAAAAAAAACAGGCCAGGCACGGTGGCTCAAGCCTGTAATCACAGCACTTTGGGAGGCAGAGACAGGCAGATTACTTGAGGCCAAGAGTTTGAGACCAGCCTGGCCAACATAGTAAAACGCCATCTCTACTAAAAATACAAAAATTAGCTGGGCACAGTGATGCATGCCTGTAATCCTGGCTACTCAGGAGGCTAGGGCACGAGAATCACTTGAACGTGGGAGGCGGAGGTTGCAGTGAGCCAAAATCACACCACTGCCCTCCAGCCTGTGTGTTAGAGACAGTCTCTAAATAAATAAATATTGACGAGAATCATTTGAATTTGGGAGGCAGAATTTGCAGTGAGCCAAGATCACACCACTGCACTTCAGCCTGGGCGACAGAGCGAGACTGTCTCAAACTGACTGACTGACTGACTGACTGACTGACTTGACTGACTGACTGACTGACTGACTAACTAAATAAATAAATAAAAGATACATTTATCAACATGAAAAAAAATTTTTTAGAATAATGCTATGTGAAAAGAACAAATTAAAGATAAATATGTATGATATATTTACGTATTTATATAATGCAAAATAATAGTGTATATTACCTATGGATATACACACATATCATAAAAATGCAAAAGCGTGTATTGAAATAATACCAAGTTCAGGGTAGAAATCTCTAGAGAGAGAAGAAGGGAAATAGGATTTATTAGGTGTTCATGGGGGCTTCAGTTATATTTATTTTGTTTTAGTAAACTCGGTGTCATGAAGTTGGTGTTCATTATGTTGTATATGCCCGAAATAGGTTATAACAATTTAAATTGTTTGTATAAATTATCTGTATTTTACAATTAATAACATGCAAAGTAAAAAATGTTTCCAAAAAATCTTACACAGAAATTTAAGTTTTATTGTTGCTAGTTCATTTACCTTTCCACCTTTCTCTACAGTATTCTAAAAATGAGGAAATGTTGATGCTGTATTAATACCTGATACCAAAATTAAACCACCTTTTCTTGTTATGAAATCTAGCACGTAACTTCTATTTCTAGCAATGTTCTGCATTTGTAAGTTTTTAAATTAATTTTTCACATGCTGTTATCACTTACCTATTAATCATTCCTAGTGAGATGGTTGTATGTACTCTAACTGATGCTAAAGAGTAATACAGATTGTTAAAAATGAAATATCACTCTTTTCGTTATTCTCTGTATAGGCCTCAGCTGCCTAGTGACCTACTAATGTTAGAATTAAATGACCCTGTCATCTTTTCCAGATAAATGCAGTGCGTGCAATAGTTCCCAATAAGAGCAACAATGAAATCATCCTGGTTTTGCAGCACTTTGATAACTGTGTGGATAAAACAGTACAGGCATTCATGGAAGGTAATCCTGACCCAGTTTTTAAAATAAATTTATATTTGTTCAAATAGAATTTGCTTCAGACTTTCATAACATTCAGAAATCCAGTGATTCATAGGTGACATATAACAGATCCCATGAAAACATAACATACCATGACATTTGAAGATACCTCTTTCAGCCCTAGAAGCTGAAATAAGCTATGTGGTGTCTATAAAGAGACAAGCTGGAGAAAACTCTATCATTTCACCTAAATGTTCTCTAATGGTATTTAAGAGGAAATCATGTGGTCAGTGGTATAAGGGACTTCACTGGAGTTGGGTTGAATAAGAATTTAAGAGACTCTTGGCCGTATGCGGTGGCTCACACCTATAATCCCAGCACTTTGGGAGGCCGAGGTGGCCAGATCACGAGGTCAAGAGATCGAGACCATCCTGGTCAACCTGGTGAAACCTCGTCTCTACTAAAAATACAAAAATTAGCTGGACATGGTGGCATGCGCCTGTAGTCCCAGCTACTCAGGAGGCTGAGGCAGGAGAATTGCTTGAACCCCAGAGGCGGAGGTTGCAGTGATCCAAGATCTCGCCACTGCACTATAGCCTGGCTATAGAGCAAGACTACATCTCGAAAAAAAAAAAAAAAAGAATTTAAGAGACTCTTAACATCAAAGTAGTGATTCAGTGGCCCACCAACAGATGGCAAATTCAAGGACTCAGTATTGTCTTCCAGATTCTAGTATTATTAGTTTGGCTCTGGCAAGTGACTCAAATGTGTGGGTTTGAATTTCCTTCTCTAATATGTAGGTGAATGGCAGGCTTAGTCAAGCTTTCAGATTTATGGCATTGACAAGTGTTTTATAAACTTCCTTCCATGTAACGTGTTTGAGAAAAACTATCTGAAGCTATTGTGTCTTTGAAAACAATATCAGGTTAGGTCTCCGTTTTTACTTTCCTGAATCTGACAGCATAGGATACACAGGTTTGAATACTGTAAGGTTTTTCTTTATCTTCATCTTTTAAAAAAAATAATGTTACTCTTTGGGTCTAGGGTAATGTGCAGCTGTCTTCAAAACAATATAGCCAAGGTGGTGTCTAACTGGAGGGGAAGGAATGGCAGAAACCACTGTGCCATCCCCTTCATACTTGGTCTAAGATGTGTAGATAAGAGAATCTTCACAATGGCCCAGCTACATTAGTCTCTTCTTGGAAGAACTTACTGAGGAAATTACTTGGAGAAGAGGGGTCTTAGTAGGCAGGTATTTCAAAGGGAAGCATGGCATGATTATCTCATTATATTACTTTAAACCTGATCCTTAACTTTTCCTGTTAGGAGCTTTGTAAATTCTCCAGCAATTACAAAGTAGGAGGACACTGACTCCTGCTTGACTACTGTGTGTGTGGCAGGAGAAAAAAAATCTGTAATTGGTTTCTCTTACAGGTAGTGCCAGTGAAGTACTCAAAGAATGGACAGTAACAGGCAAGAAAAAGGTAAAATGAATTACATTTAAAAGCATGATGATGTTTATATTATTTTTGAAAATTTAGGCTCTGCAAAAATATTTGAAAGAAAAGGTTTACATACATAGCTTCAGTTTACCTGGTTAAAAAATGTCTTCTGGCCGGGCGCAGTGGCTCAAGCCTGTAATCCCAGCACTTTGAGAGGCTGAGGTGGGTGGATCACGAGGTCAAGAGATCGAGACCATCCTGGTCAACATGGTGAAACCCCGTCTCTACTAAAAATACAAAAAATTAGCTGGGCATGGTGGTGCGTGCCTGTAATCCCAGCTACTCAGGAGGCTGAGGCAGGAGAATTGCCTGAACCCAGGAGGCGGAGGCTGCGGTGAGCCGAGATCGTGCCATTGCACTCCAGTCTGGGTAACAAGAGCGAAACTCCATCTCAAAAAAAAAAAAATGTCTTCTTTGGCCAGGCACAGTGGCTCACACCTCGAATCCCAACACTTTGGGAAGCTGAGGCGGGTGGATCACTTGAGGTCAGGGGTTCAAGACCAGCCTGGTGAAGCTCTGTCTCTACTAAAAAATAGAAAAAATTAGCCAGGTGTGGTGGTGCATGCCTGTAATCCCAGTTACTCAGTGGGGTGAGGCAGGAGAATAGCTTGAACCTGGAGGCAGAGGTTGCACTGAGCCAAATCGAGCCATTGCACTCCAGCTTGGGTGACAGAGTGAGACTCCATCTCAAAAAAAAAACCTTCTTTGACACTGAAACGTAGCTGTGTCTTACAGAGTACCACACAGTTGTTTCAATGTGATTTAAGGCAGGAAACAGAATGACTTTACCATGGTATGGTTATTAGGGGTGAAAAAGAGCAAGGAAAGCAAGAGAAAGCAATTTAATTGAATGGTTTTCAACCATATTAATATCATAAATCAGTTAATACAGTTCAGATTTTTGGTCAGACAACTGAGTTGTAGTCCTGATGTTAATGAACTTTGACATAAAGCTATTAGATACTGGCCAGGCAGAGTGGCTCATGCTTGTAATCCCAGCACTTTGGGAGGCTGAGGTGAGAGGTTCCCTTGAGCCCAGGAATTCAAGACCAGCCTGGGCAACATGATGAGACCCGATCTCAAAAAAAAGCTACTAGGTGCCTTGCAAAGGGGTCTGATGTTCCACTTTGGGAGGTAGAAGGCACTTAGGTTGTGGGGTCAGTCAGAACTGGATTCCTACCCTGTTGCACTATCTGCTGGCGTCATGACTGATAAACATTTGTGTGCCTTAGTTTGCTCATCTCTAAAATAGAAAATTGTTTGTTGTTGTTGTTGTTGTTTTTTCTTTTTTGAGACGAAGTCTAGCTCTGTCACCAGGCTAGAGTGTAGTGGGGCAATCTTGGCTCACTGCAGTCTCTGACTCCCTGGGTTCAAGCTATTCTCCTGCCTCAGCCTCCTGTGTAGTTGGGATTACAGGCACATGCCACCACATCCAGGTATTTTTTTTGTATTTTTAATAGAGACAGGGTTTCACCATGTTGGCCAAGATGGTCTCAGTCTCCTAACCTTGTTATCCACCCGCCTCAGCATCCCAAAGTGCTGGGATTACAGGTCTGGGCCATCGAACCCAGCCAGAAAAATAGTTCTAATAAATAGAAGTACGTAATACAATGCCTAACGTATTAGTTCTCATTCATTGCTCCTTAATCTGCTTAAAATCAGATGTTTTTCCCAAAGAATACCAGCTGGTGTCAGAATTCTTCCCACAGCTCAGTACCCTAAAGGTAACCCCTTTAGAAAAGTCCTGAAGTATGCATTTTAATCAGGTATCTCTGTGAAATCTGTTTAGGGTGTTCTTTTCTTTATTAAGTTAGTGCTGGAGTTCTGAAATGCTTAAGGTGACTCATATCACTTTTTAGGAGTTCTGTCAGATCTTGACCAAAAACCAGGCTTGGCCTCAGTGACCCTTGAGAATTTTTTCCAAGGATTACCTAATACTAACACAGATTCTCCTAAAGCTCTTTATACCCGAGGCTTTAAATATTTGTTTAATTTCTTCCTACTGCTTTCAACCTACACTGATAACTGTGAGTGTCCTACCAGTTTTTTTTTCTTTTTTCTTTTTTTTTTTTTTTTGTTTTGAGATAGAGTTTCGCTCTGTTGCCCAGGCTGGAGTGCAGTGGCGTGATCTCAGCTCACTGCAGCCTCTGCCTCCTGGGTTCAAGCAATTCTCATTCCTCAGCCTCCCACATAGCTGGGACTACAGGCATGTGCCGCCATACCTGGCTAATTTTTGTATTTTTTTAGTAGAGGTGGGGTTTCACCATGTTGGCTAGGCTGGTCTCAAACACCTGACCTCAAGTGATCTGTCCACCTTGGCCTCCCAAAGTGCTAGGATTACAGGTGTCAGCCACCGTGCCTGGCCAACACCAGTTTCTTATTTTATTGGCCCAGGATTATAAGTTACTAGTGATATAAAATGTGCATGGAGCTGGAAGATGATGTGTTGGAGACACAGACATTTCTTAAAATTTGGAGAAAGAAATACGACTTCAGTTTGGCAGTCCCAAATGCCCAAATCCTGTCCAGTCCACTTAACAGTTGGGATTATTCCAATAGGATGTAACTCTGAGTGGATAGTTATTAGGTGGCACAAGTATATGAAAACATAGCCAGTTCACATGGGGGGAAATATTTAAGAAAAAGAAAGATGAGGCTGGGTGTGGTGGCTCACACCTGTAATCCAAGCACTTTGGAGACCAAGGCGGGTGGATCACCTGAGGTTGGGAGTTCAAGACCAGCCTGAACAACATGGTGAAACCCCATCTTAATAAATAAATAAATAAAATAAAATAAAATAAAATAATAATAAAAAAAGTAAAGAAAAGAAAAATGAGAGCTGTGTGGAGGAGAGAAGTTTATCTAGAGTTCAGTCATGTTCCTGCTGGAGAGGGCCACAGAAAGGACTTGGGGAAAAAGGTATTCAATTATCAGTCTAGCTTTAGGAATAGAATTAAGTATTGCCAGTGGAGCTATGAGTTTGGCAAAACAAAAGGTAAAGGACTTTTGTTTTTATTTTAATTTTACTATTTGCCTATGTAATATACTCACATGGCTCAAAATTCAGAGGTACAAGAGTTAATACACTGAGACATCTTTTTTTTTTTTTTTTGAGATGGTGTCTCATTCTGTTGCCCAGGCTGGAGTGCAGTGGTGCGAGCTCATCTCACTGCATCCTCTACCTCGCAGGTTCAGGCGATTCTCCTGCCTCAACTTCCTGAGTAGGTGAGCTTACAGGTGTGTGCCACCACACCTGGCTGATTTTTTTTTCTTTAAGACGGGGTTTCACCATGTTGGTCAGGCTGGTCTTGAACTCCCGATCTCAGGTGATCCACCCGCCTTGGCCTCCAAAGTGCTTGGATTACAAGCGTGAACCACCACACCCGGCCCGATTTTTGTATTTTTTATTGGAGATGGGGTTTCATCATGTTGGCCAGGCTGGTTTTGAACTCCTGACCTCAGGTGATCTGCCTGCCTTGACCTCCCAAAGTGCTGGGATTACAGTTGTGAGCCACTGTCCCCAACCAATACACTGAAACATCTTTATCCCATTCCTGTTCTCCACCTCTGAGACAAACAGCATTTTCAGTTTCTTATGTATCTTTCAATATATTTCATGTATATATAAGTAAATAAGAATATCTATTCTCCCTTTTGCCTGCTCCTTTTTTCATGAAATATATCTTGGAGCTTATTTCATGTCTCAATATATAAAGAGCTTTCTTGTTTTTATGAATACATAGTCATCCTGCTGTTTGGATGTGCCATACCTTATTTAAGCAGTCCCCTATTGACCAACATTTGGGTTTCTAATCCTGTGCTGTTAATAGTGATACTGCTATGAATAATCTTGTGCATATATAGAAATCATTTTGCATGTATGTTAGTCTCATCTTGAATAAATTCCTAGAAGTAGAATTGTTAGTCAAAGGGTATGTGCATTTGTAATTTTGATAAGTATTAGATTGCCATGGAGAATACCACTTTACACTCTCAGAAGTAATATATGGAAATGCCTGTTTCTTATACCCTCAACCTTGTCAGTTCTACAGTGTTAACATACTTTTAGACCTTTGCTAATCTAATAGATGAAAAATAATCATTGGATTGCAGTTTTAATATATATATATGTGTATATATATATACATCTTATTAGACTGATATTGCATATCAGTCTAATTAATGTTGCATATCATTCCATATGCTTACAGCTTATACTTTTTTTTTCTATTGGATTATTTTGCTTTTTCTTAGAACTCTGTCTATTTAGTTCTTTGAATATAAGCTGTACAAACTTTTTTCACATTTTGTAATTTATCTTTTGACTTTTCTTAAGGTGCGTTTCATCATGAAGAAACGTTTTATATTTGTGTTTGAGCTTCTCTCAAGTATAGGATTTTACATAGTAAAATTTTATTTTAGGCAGTAGTTCAGGATATATGATAATGTTAAATTTCTGAAAGAACATACAAGAAATTGGTAACATTGGTTACTTTGGGTAGCTAGAGTTACTTCTCTAGGTTGTGGGGGAATCTTTTTTTCTTTTCTTTCTTTTTTTTTCTTTTTTCAAATTCTTAATAACTTTAGAACAAAAAGAAGAAAAACAAACCGAAACCTGCCACAGAACCAAGTAATAGTATCCCAGATACCAGTAAAACCGTTTCCATTCAAGAGGAACAGTCTGCACCTTCCTCAGAGAAAGTTGGTATGAATGGCTACCATGTCAATGGTGCCATCAATGACACTGAGTCTGTGGAATCACTCAGTGAAGGTTTGGAGACACTTTCAATAGACGCTAGAGAATTGGAGGATCCCGGGTCTGCCATGCCATATGCACTGGATAGAACAGGTGAGTTTATTAACAGGTTTTGGAAAAGTTGCATTCAGTTGAAAAACAGGGGTCTCTTTGTTAAGAAGGCAATCAATTAAATCTAGTTAGTCTTTTTTTTAATCCAGTGCTTGCTGGTTAGTCTTTTTACTTTTTAGTTTTTGTTAATTTTTGTCTGAGTCACATTTTATAATTATCAAAGGCCTAGAAAAAATATAATTCTTGTTCCATTATATTTTAACTCTAGTCTAAATCAGTCTTGTGGATATCATCTAACTTAACCTACTTATGCCTAGTGTTCCATTATTGGAATGCTAAGCATGTGGGAATTATTCAGATTCTACTGCTCAAGGTCATTGCCAAAGTCAGATTTTTCACTCATACAAAAATTCAAAAAATTGCAGCATGAATGGGTTAATAGTGGAGAAATACCTTAGTCTTTAGAGACTAAGAAGGTGATTTTAAGTTGTTTTTTAAAAATTGTGGACTTATTAAGGAAGATGATGGTGTTGATATTATTATTCTAATACCCAACACAGTGAGAAATATAGTAATGGTAATTCCAGCTTTTGTGAGAACTGGGCTGTTGGTTTTTATAGTCTAACATTTGTTTTCTAGTGAAGAATTATGATTAGTGTTGTAAATTCACATTTCTTGTACATGTGTTTGTTAACCTTTTTTTTTTTTTTTGAGACGGAGTTTCGCTCTTGTTACCCAGGCTGGAGTGCAATGGCGCGATCTCGGCTCACCGCAACCTCCGCCTCCTGGGTTCAGGCAATTCTCCTGCCTCAGCCTCCTGAGTAGCTGGGATTATAGGCACGCGCCACCATGCCCAGCTAATTTTTTTTGTATTTTTTAGTAGAGACGGGGTTTCACCATGTTGACCAGGTTGGTCTCGATCTCTTGACCTTGTGATCCACCCGCCTCGGCCTCCCAAAGTGCTGGGATTACAGGCTTGAGCCACCGCGCCCGGCGTTAACCATTTTTTTTGAGAGTTAGTAAGGTACTGGAAATTTTTCTTTTTTAAAAAATTATTTGTTAATCCAGTTCCCCTACCCTGCTGCTCCTGACTTTAGAAGTGTAATGCCAATGTAAGATTTATGCTGTGCTGTTTGGTGTTCTTTTATTGATTAACATATACACATACACAAGAAAAGACTTAAGAGAAAAGCATTGTACTGACATAAACCAACAATAGCCAGTGGTTTCCATTTTTTTCTGAGCTAGCTTTTCTCTCATTTCTAACTCTTCCTAATTCATTACACTTATATCCCCTAAAGCTTTGTTTTTGTGTTTTTTGTTGTTGTTGTTGTTTTTTTTTTTTTTTTTTTTTGAGAGAGACCTGGTCTATGTTACCCAATCTGCTCTTAAACTCCTGGGCTCAAGTGATCCTCCTGCCTCAGCCTCCTGAATAGCTGGGATTACAGGTGTGAGCCACCATGCCTGGCCCCTAAAGCTTTTAAATTCTTCTTTCCTCAAGAGAGTGTAAAACTCTTTACTTTCTCAACATGGAGGCTTGGAGAAGTTGGTGATAGTGACTTTCTTTGATTCCTTGTGCCAGAATTACAAAGAAACTACCAAGCTACAAAAAAGCTACAGAGCTACAGGGATTGAGCTCCCTTTCTAAAGATGTTACCACAGACTCTTCTCTTTATTCAGGATGCCACTTAGGCCTAAACCAGAAGCTGCTGATAGCCATACCCAGCTGATTCTGATCTTTGTTCTATTTTTTCAGTTGATTTTGTTCACAACCTTTTAAGAGGCATGGTTTTGCTTCAAACGTTTTTACCTGTTTTCTTTGTGTACTTAAGAATGATTGGTTTACTCCTAAATTGTGTTCTAAAGTGCTGTCCTCTTTCTTGGACAGGATCCATGCTGCAGAATGGTGTCTCTGATTTTGAGACCAAGTCTTTGACTATGCACTCTATTCAGAATTCTCAACAACCCAGGAATGCTGCCAAATCGCTCTCAAGACTTACCACAGAAACTCAGTTTTCAAATATGGGGATGGAAGATGTTCCTCTCTCCACCAATAGAAAGCTAAGTAAGTCAGAGGCCCACCTGTGAGAGAAAATGAAAAATCTGTGTTTTGGCTAAAGAGGGCAGATTATCTCTGTTCCCATAGATAAGGTTTCAGAGAGCCATCAGTTAATACTTTTTCCATTTTCCAGACAGTGACTACTCAGCCTTTCCCCTACCTTTGTTTACACAGTTGGAGTCTGAAGTAGTTTAAATGCCGTACAGTCTTTTTTTTTTTTTTTTTTTTTTTTGTGTGTGTGTGAGACGGAGTTTCGCTCTTGTTACCCAGGCTGGAGTGCAATGGCGCGATCTTGGCTCACCGCAACCTCCGCCTCCTGGGTTCAAGCAATTCTCCTGCCTCAGCCTCCCGAGTAGCTGGGATTACAGGCACGCGCCACCACGCCCAGCTAATTTTTTGTATTTTTAGTAGAGACGGGGTTTCACCATGTTGACCAGGATGGTCTCGATCTCTTGACCTTGTGATCCGCCCGCCTCGGCCTCCCAAAGTGCTGGGATTACAGGTGTGAGCCACCGCGCCCGGCTTAAATGCCGTACAGTCTTAAAACGACAGGGAACCTTTTTGTGAATTAAAGTCAGACTCTACTGCCAGGATGACTTATCTGCTGACGTTAACCTGTTTCTTTGCTTTACTGCAATGTTTTTATGCTATTTCATTTTTATCTCCTGGTTGATGCAACAAGTAAAAGCTCTACCTTCTCTGACATTGACATTTTAAAGAAATATTTTCACTCTTCTTCATAACTTTATGTTCTTACTGAGCTAGAGTCTTCTGACAGACTCTAGCTTTAAGTAATATCGTTTTCTCTTAAGTAAGTGTGTGGCATTGACTTGTGGTCATAGCTCTTTGCTTAAAAAAAAAAAAACTACAATAATCATTTAAATAAATAGTCAGTAATTCAGCAGACAGAGATAATAGCCTGTTTCATACATCTGAGTTTCATACATCTAAGCATGGTGGACCACTCCACTGAACAAATGAAACATAGAAATGTAAAGGACACTTAGAATCAGTAGCTCTTTATGGAATTATTTATTATACATGAGTCAAATTTTAATTAGGTAAGTTCCCCTTTTTCATTGTTCTAGTAGCCCTCAGCCTTCTGCAGATCAGCAAGGCTGAGACTATCCAATCAAGCAAAAATTTAAAAGTGTGTGTAAATAAATACACATATATATGCGTACATGTATATACGTACATGTATATACGTACATATGTATATACAGGTACGTATATATATACGTACATATGTATATACATGTACGTATATATATGTGTATGTATATACATATATATATGTACACACAGGCACAAGGCTTGAAAACTTTTAGGTAGATTCTAAAATAAAATCAAGTTGAGATGAGGAAGAATTTAAATAAAAAAATTGAAAATGCATATCTTGGCATAGTTACAAACTTTTTAGATCTATGTTTCCAGCAATCAATTATATATATACTTTGGGATTGGTGAATATAGAAAGGTAAATAGAACTCTTTAAAATAAAAAAAAAAAACTATTTGAAACTGGTTAAAATGTGTTGAGTAGGTAAATGTAGTCCATCTTTTTCTACAAAGCTAGCTTCCCTGCATATATACAGGGTTTCAAACTGTGCTATACAGAGAGAACGTTTTAATTTTGTAATGTCCACATGGTGAGTTATATTTTATTAAATCCTGTAATTTAGGGAGTTTTGAAAATTTAGTGCCTTTTTAAAAGTGTTTCCTGAGGCTAGGCGCAGTGGCTCATGCCTGTAATCCCAGCACTTTGGGAGGCTGAGGCGAGTGGATCACAAGGTCAAGAGATTGAGACCATCCTGGTCAACATGGTGAAACCCCATCTCTACTAAAAATACAAAAAATTAGCTGGGCATGGTGGTGCATGCCTGTAATCCCAGCTACTCAGGAGGCTGAGGCAGGAGAATTGCCTGAACCCAGGAGGCAGAGGTTGCGGTGAGCCGAGACCACGCCATTGCACTCCAGCCTGGGTAACAAAAGCGAAACTCAGTCAAAAAAAAAAAAAGTTTTCTGTCTGTGTTTCATTTCATTTTAGATATTGTAAAATTGCTCTCTTCAACTGTACCCATCTTTTCTTAACAGCTTCTATTCTGCTGTTAATTCTATGCAGTATATTCTCATCTCATTCATTGCTTTGTCTCTAGAAGTTCAGTTGGGGCCTTTTTAGATGTCTTTCATATCTCTCCTTACCATGGTTATGCTTTCCTCTACCCTCTTGAACATATGGTATCTAATTATAATAGCTGTTTGATGTCCTTTTCTACTCAATTCTATCATCTGTGTCATTTCCGCATCTGCTTCTGTGATGGATTTTTCTCTTCCTTATAGGTCATATTTTTCCGCTGCTTTTAAGCTTTTTAGGTGGGACTAGAGTCACCTTTAGAGCTAATTTTGCCCCATTGCTGAGGCAGTATCCTTCCAACTACTCTGCCTGCCATGTATTGTGAGGTTTTTCCACTGTGGCTGGTATGAGCACAAACTATTCCTGGCCTTGTGAGCTCTGGGGATTTTCTGCCTGGGGGTGTGTGTGTGCGTGTGTGTGTGTGTGTGTGTGTGTGTGTTTGGGTTTTTTTGCCTGTCCTCTTTCCGGTCTTGGGTAGTTGCTTTATACCCATGCTCTGATCCACACTCAGATTCCTCTGTGGATTTCCATGCAGCTCCCGTGTGTTTAGCTCTTTCATCACCAGTACGCTGCCCTAGAATTTTAGCCATCTTGGTGTCTCCAAATTCTCAACTTCGTCCCTTCAGTTCTCCTCTCTACATTGTAGCCTAGGAACTGTTGGGGCAGTAAGTTGGGGCAATCATAGGCCTCACTTCATTTGTTTCTGTTGTCTCAAGTGAAGAGTACTTACTACCTGTTACACATTGTCTGAAAACCATTGTTTCGTGTATTTTGTCTTTGCATGTTTTTAGTTGTTTAAGGTAGAAGGATAAGCGCCATTCTTATTATTCCATCTTGATCAGGATCCTTTTTTCCCCCAAAAATCTATAAAAACATGTTTTTCCTGTTAGGGAGGGTGATTATTGAGGCAAGTTTCTTAGTCTACGTGACATTTGGCTTAGGTGTTCAGAGCCAACTTTCAAGTTACCTATGTTGTTATTTTTTTTAATCTTTGGATTTCTTTCCCCAAGGTTCCAATATTGAAAAATCTGTAAAAGACCTCCAGCGCTGCACAGTATCTCTTGCACGGTATCGAGTTGTAGTTAAAGAAGAGATGGATGCTTCCATTAAGAAAATGAAACAAGCCTTTGCTGAATTGGAAAGCTGGTAAGTTAAGTTGCATTTGATACCAGTAGCATAAAACTGATCATTTATAAATATAAAGATGGTCAGCCATTCCCCACGTTCTTTCATTCATGACCAGCTATTCTACATAGTTGGGGAGACTTAAAAATCCTTTGGTATATTGAGCGTTCTGCTTTGTTCTACTTCTTTTGGTCACAGTGTGAGAACGAATGGTACAGATAAATCACAATACTCTAGAAATGAGCCGGAGGTTAATATTGTTTGGAAAGGGACACATAATTATAGAGTAGATCATACACTCTTACTTTAAAGTCTCCTTTTAAACCAAGATCCTATAACAAATGATGTGATATTTTTGAACAAGATTATAAAGTAGAAAAAAATCTGTCTTTGCTTTCCTACCTTCTTTCATCCTTTTTAATGTATGCAACTCCAATGGTCTCTTCTATACTCTTTTTATTATTATTATTATTATTATTATTATTATTTGAGACAGGGTGTTGCTCTGTCACCCAGGCTGGAATGGTGTGGCATGATCACATCTCACTGTAGCCTTAGCTTCCTGAGCTCAAAATAGACTAAGACAAATAGACTGTTTGCCTTAGTCTATTTTGCATTGCTATAACAAATACCTGAAGCTGGATAATTTATAATGAATAGAGATTTCTTCCAGCAGTCCTCCCACCTCAACCTCCCAAGTAGCTGGGACTTCAGGCATGTACTACCACACTTGGCTCTTTTTTTTTTTTTTTTCTTTGAGGCAGAGTCTTACTCTGTCACCCAGGCTGGAATGAGTGGCATAATCTTGGCTCACTGCAACCTCCGCCTCCCGGTTCAAGTGGCTCTCTTGCCTCAGCGTTCCGAGTAGCTGGGACTATAGGTGTGCGCTACCATGCATGGCTAATTTTTGTATTTTTTAGTAGAGATGAGGTTTTATCATATTAGACAGGCTGGTCTTGAATTCCTGACCTCGTGATCCACCCACCTCAGCCTCCCAAAGTGCTGGGATTACAGGCGTGAGCAACCGCGCCCAACCTCATTTTTAAATTTTTTAACATTTTGTAGAGATGTGGTCTCTACATCTCTATGTTGCCCAGGCTAGTCGTGAACTCCTGGGCTCAAGTGATCTGCCTGCCTCAGCTTCCTAAAGGGCTGGAATTATAGGTGTAAGCTACCACACCTGGCCTGCCTTTTATTAATTATAGATTTGTTTTTGATTTCATGATTTTCAAACTGTGTTCTATAGAATACTCACTTGTTTGTTTGTTTGTTTGTTTTTGAGACAGTCTCACTCTGTTGTCCAGGCTGAAGTGCAGTGGTGCAATCTCAGATCACTGCAACCTCCGTCTCCCAGGTTCAAGTGATTCTCATGTCTCAGCCTCCCCAGTAGCTGGGATTACAGGTGTGTGCCACCACACCCTGCTAATTTTTGTATTTTTAATAGAGACTGGTTTTTGCCATGTTGGCCAGGCTGGTCTCGAACTCCTGACCACAGGTGATCCACTGGACTTGGCCTCCCAAAGTGTTGGGATTATAGGCGTGAGATACCGCAGCTGACCTAGAATACTCATTTCTTAAAATATATTAGTGTTTTCTGGGGAAAATCAGGTTTGATGGTTAAAGAGGTTTGAAAATGCTTTTAAAAATTTTGCTGCTGGGTGGGGCATGGTGGCTGACACCTGTAATCCCAGCACTTTGGAAGGCCAAGGCGTGGATCACAAGGTCAGGAGTTCGAGACCAGCCTGACCAACATAGTGAAAACCCATTTCTACTAAAAATACGCAAATTAGCCAGGCGTGGCACATGCCTATAATCCCAGCTACTCAGGGACTGAGGCAGGAGAATCAATTGAACCCAGGAGCGGAGGTTGCAGTAAGCCAAGATTGCGCCATTGCAGCCCAGCCTGGATGACAGAGCAAGACACTATCTCAAAAAAAAAAAAAAAAAATTTTTTTTTTTACTTTTGACCTCAGAGCCTTTTCAATGCTAATGTGCCTTGTGGATTACAAGAGGAAGCTATACTATGCTGTTTATGAAATATATTTTATTATAGATAGAATCTTTTGATGGTTGAGAAATATATTTGTCTATTTTGCATTGCTATAACAAATATCTGAAGCTGGATAATTTATAATGAATAGAGATTTATTTTTTATAGTTTTGGAGTCTGGGAAGCTTAAGGTCAAGGGGCCCACATCTTGGCAAGGACCTTGCTGTGTCATCCCACGGCAGATGACAGAAGGGCAAGGGAGCACACATGGGAGAGCCAGAGACGGCCAAACCCAATTTTGTAATGAACTCACTCTCTCAATAACAACATTAATCCATTTGTGGGACTCTTCCCTCATGACCTAATCACCTCTTTTTTTTTTTTTTTTGAGGCAGAGTTTCACTCTTGTTGCCCAGGCTGGAGTGCAATGGTGCATTCTCGGCTCACCGCAACCTCTGCCTCCTGGGTTCAGGCGATTCTCCTGACTCAGCCTCCCAAGTAGCTGGGATTACAGGCATGTACCACCAAGTCCAACTAATTTTTTGTATTTTTAATAGAGATGAGGTTTCACCATGTTGGCCATGATGGTCTCGATCTCTTGACCTCATGATCCACCTGCCTTAGTCTTCCAGCCTAATCACCTCTTAAAGGTCTCACCTCTCAACACTGTAGCATTGAGGATTAAGTTTCCAACACATGAGCTTTGGGGATCACATTCAAACCATAGCAGTATTCTTATGTTTCCTGGAACACTGAAGCTGTTTTAACTGTTAGACATTAAGGTGTTAACTGATATTTTTTTGTTTTTTGTTTTGTTTGAGATGGAGTCTCTCTCTGTTGCCCATGCTGGAGGGCAGTGGTGTGATCTTGGCTCACTGCAACCTCCACCTCTTAGGTTCAAGTGATTCTCCTGTCTCATCCTCCCTGAGTAGCTGGGACTACAGGCATGCACCACCATGCCCGGCTAATTTTTTGTATGTTTTTAGTAGAGATGGGGTTTTACCATGTTGGCAAAAGTGGTCTCGAACTCCTGACCTCAGGTGATTCACCCACCTCGGCCTCCCAAAGTGCTGGAATTACAGATGCAAGCCACTGCCAGTGTTAACTGGTATTTAAACTCTAGCTTCTTTGTGGGAGGTATTTACATTTTATAAGGGATGTTTTTGAAACTAGGAAAGACTTCAGGATCATATTAAAATGATAGAAAGACAAGCAGCTAGGTTGATGTTTTGGGACCTTGAACTTGTTAATTCTACTTATTTTTAATAACTGTCTAGATCTGAAATATGACAGCAAGTGTTCGTGAATAGAGAACCTAAAGCACTTTTCCTGAAAACCATCCATCGCTTTCTTGCTGCCTTTAGACTGTTCCCTCAAGTTACACCCAACTGTGTCTCTGTTCACAAACTTAGTTTAGTCACTTTTGCCACAACAAATAAGAGAGAGAAGATTGTAGGTCCCCTCAGTCTTCCTGGTCTCTGAAATTGCAGAGAAGTAATTAATCACAATGAAATAACGCCTCCAAAAAGTTAAATCATCAGAACCAAACTATTTTGGGGCTATGTAATTCATCTAGTAGTCTACCCACACCTTGTCCTGAATTCATAAGTTTCACTTTTCAGGTTTTATGGCTAGGAATTTAATGTCATGTCTTCTGTTTTTGTTTGTTTGTTTGAGACAGGGTCTGGCTCTGTCACCCAGGCTGGAGTGCAGTGGCACAATCATGGCTCACTGCAACCTCCGTCTCCTGGGCTCAAGCTATCTTCCCACCCTCAGCCTCCAGAGTAGCTGGGACTACAAAAGCGTGCACCACTACAACCTGAGTAATTTTTGAATTTTTTGTAGAGATGGGGTTTCGCCATATTGCCCAAGCTAGCCTTCAATTCCTGGGCTCAAGCAATCCTCTCGTCTCGGCCTCCCAAATGTTGGGATTACAGACATGAACCACTGCACCCAGCTGTCTTCTGTTTTTCTTGACACGAATTTTTGCTCCTGCCAGATGACTCATTGTCTCAAATGCCACTTTCCCAGACTGTGATAATGCTCTCTTATTCCTCCGTATTTATCTAAATCCTACTATTTATCCAAACTCTCCTTAGATTAAGGTCTAACTTCTGGAAATTTTTCTAGGTAACTGATTTTTCCCCTTTGTGAACTTCTAGGAGGAAGCAACATGCCCTTTGCACTGCATTCTTCTTATATAAGATATCGTTGGCTTGTTCAGAAAATAAAGAGCTGGCTGGGCACAGTGGCTCACGCCTGCAATCCCAGCACTTTGGGAGGCCGAGGCGGGCAGATCATGAGGTCAGGAATTTGAGACCAGCCTGCCCAACATGGTGAAACCCCATCTCTACTAAAGATAGAAAAATTAGCCAGGTGTGGTGGCACACTCCTATAATCCCAGTTACTCAGGAGGCTGAGGCAGGAGAATCACTTGAACCCAGGAGGTGGAGGTTGCAGCAAGCCGAGATGCACCATTGCACTCCAGCCTGGGTGACAGGGCGAGATTCCATCTCAAAAAAAAAAGAAAAAGAGCTAAGTATAGTGGGTCATCACAACTTTGCCTTGATAAGCCTCTGGTCTCCATGATTGTTCAGCTTACTGATTACTTAGCCACAGGATCTGATTCCATTCAGAACAAGCTTGAACCAGGAAACACGGTTCCGGGAGAGATTTGTGAATTCCTGCTGACTTGGAACCCAGCCAGGAGGAGCCTCCTTCAATAAATAACAAATGAAATGGTTTCCTGCCTGGGAACTGTGTATTTAGGATTGATTAGCTGACATAACAACCAGGTCAATTTAACTTGAGGAAGGAGATTACCTGCCCTTTTCTGCTAGTATAAAGCCCTTTGCTGTGGCTGATTGAGTTTATAAACCACATTATTTCAATGTTCCTTGTAGCTGCTACTTCACGACATAATTGGCAAGTGAGCTAACTCCATTTGGCACCAAACTAGAGCTTGGAGTTAATGTCACTTAGAAAGCCATTTTTGTGTTGGTTATAGTATAAAAAGAGAAGCAAAGGGTTC